ACTGCTTTTTTAGTCGAGATGCTTCCATCGTTTCCCGATTCTCCCGTGTATTTGACATTGTTACCAACGCTTAATGAAAGGAAGCGCAAGAAACACTTTCATTCATGGAAAAGAGTGGTCAGCACAGAGGATTCTGTCGATCTTGACGAAATCGTTGATGCTGTCAAGTAGATTAGTTTTCCTACCGATTCTTTCCGTCTAATGTTTTTCCGCACCCATTCATCATCAACATTAACTGTAACAGTTACATCTTTAATTGAATGAAGTTTGACAGCAATGTGTCAGGAATAAGAGTGGTGTTGGGACGACATTTCTAACTAGAATACGAGGAAAATGCATTAAGCTAGAAAGTGAGGCTAAGTTTAGGGACTCTAGAAATTTTCTCTCTTCTGCAGCTCCGCGTGTCACTTGTTGATTACAAATCTTTTTAAGAACTTATTTAACCAGAGCATCCTTCTTCACTCCTTCATTTAATTGATGTTTTCCTAGCAAGTTGAGGTTATTTCATGGCAATTTATTTTCAACTTTTCCTGAAGGTTTCAAATTTTTACTGAAATTTCTGGCTCTTGAAGCCACTACGGTTTTGTCATACAACGAAATTTTTTACTTTTTTGTATCTACTTCTCGAAGCATGGGGGAAAAATGTTATGTTGCGAGCTTGTGTTAAATGTCATTCCTGTTGCTTAGAATGTTACGATTTTACAGGCAGCGAATTGAGAACGAAACTGCAAAGTTTGTTATGGCCCGAAGGGTGAACAGAGTTTGATCGAAGATCTCACAGCCTTGTATTGTACGTTTATTAAATGGAAGTAAAGTTTAACGTTTGTTGTTTATTGCTTTGCATGATTATCTGGATCTATTTAATTCTAAATTACTTTCCGATGTATCTCGTAGTCGTAAAATATTGCCCAAATTCATATGGATTTAGGTCTGAGCCTGAGGCAGTACTTCACAGTTGTTTCGTTCATAAGTAACTTGCTCATTATACATTATGATTATACGCGATTCAAATTTGTGCTTTCTCCAAATGAGGAGGTTTTCACCGCGACGACTATACAGTCTTAGGGCGCGCTACGAGTGACTGGTGCCCTCTGGAGCGAAGGTAGCATTTCCATCACGTATGTTAGACATGTCCGTGCCTGAAGTTGTACTTACATATAAAATCAGTAGGAATGTATTACGGAAATAATAATGCTTATGTAGTCACCACACATCAGGCTGTACTCTACATGCCAAGTACATTATTTTTGTACTGCTTCAATCAAGATAAATTTCATTCTAAAAATGTTCGATTCATGTCTTTAAAGTCCATTACAATCATGCCAGTAAAATCTGTTTGTAGTAGGTTGATGTGTAATCGCTCGACTCTGACGTCCGTCAGACTGTGTGAAGGTTACTTTCCGTTAATAGTTGTGATTCAGTGGCAGGTTTCATAAAGAAATTGTTTAGGTGAATTAGTAAGGAATCTAAAATGTGTGAAGTGTGCACAGTTTATATCGAGGCAGTATTTGAACAAGAGACTCACTCTAACATAAGGCGCTTTTTGGGTCGAGCTCTATGTTGTCGATTGCCACGTACTGATTGCCGGACACGTTGCGAGCCACAAACAATACCTAAGTGAGTTCTTGACTGCACTTGCCGCTGTCAATGAAGAAAAATTCTTGTACCTTATGGGTTCCCGGAGATAGCGCAATAGTTTCGCGTTGATGCCACCATTTGTCAGAGGCTGTATGAACGTCACGAAGTTTGTACGATTTAATGCAAGTGTTTTGGGTGTTCACACAAACCTGAAATGTTAATTAGTTTTAACTGATATGGAAGGACAGGGCGCAGTCCAGAATTATAACAACGAATGCAATAGGGCGAAGACATGATTTATATTAGATAGTGATGCAGTTAGCACTCTATGCAATGAATAGGATGTGTTTGATACCATCTTGCCAAGGACTCTATAGTTCCTTAACAACAACGGATATGCAATAACTGCATAAGTTTAGTGGCCAGCGTGGAAGTTCACAATCTGATACCTTTCTTACAGTCAAAATGCTTTTGAGACTATCTGCCTATGACCCACACTCAAATCGATAAGCATATTTCCTTCTAATTGCTGCGTACTTAAACCATTATCATTTCGACCGGCTCCTACAGCTGCAGCAAAGGGTGGATTCCCAGCTTTGCAAGTCGCTGTGGAAACGACTGGAGATCTGTCTTTAGACGAAATGCCGAGTTCTCCATGCAGACATTAGCTCCGTCTTCCATCCCATACCAGAGCTGAGTCATAAAAGTTTTTGACTCGATGAAACCAGAACTTCTATTTACAAATCATCTCACGGACATGATCTATCGATCACCTGTTCAGCCTCAGAATCTGAGCTCGTGGCAACAATAGTCCCTTTACTGCCCTGATAACACGACTACTGCGTTGGGTGGGACAGGTGTTTTGATGTCCATTAAACTATATTACCTCCATGACACTGAATGCCATCCCGACACTTTGATGACACCGAAAAAAAGTAGTGCAAGTTAGGACCTGATGAGTAACTGTAAACATTGAAGTCTTATCTGGACCGGCAGTGTACGGGTAAAAATGATCGAAGAATAAACTTGGTGGAATATTGAGTATGACCTTCCTCATTTATTTTACGACTCTATTACGAAAGTTTCCTGTAGCTATGATGGCACAGCGTGCAGAATCCTCTTTTAGAAGTTTTTTCACAGCCCAACTAAACAGTCCTGCAAGACTTATGATGTCACTGATGAAATGTTGTCGACTGATCGCATGCCATGTGTTGTTTCGGATCTGACTCTAAGCCTGCATACAGAAGATCTTAGGATTAATGATATCCACATTCCGTATCGTTCACGCCTCGACTTCACAACAACACCGGCAAAAAACGATTTGTAGATCCAAAATGTTGAGTAATGGATTACGATAGGGTGCTTAATGACCAGAGGCGCGATATAGCAT